CGAACTACATTCTAAAAGACGTAAAACTTTAGAAAAATTGCAAACTGCTTTACCCGATATATTTAAAACTTTGATGTTAATATTATCTTCTATTTGTAAAATTTATTGTTTATTACAAAATAATTTTACAGTTATTTTAAAGGAGGAATTTACATGGGATAAAACTTTAAGGTAAGTACATATTCAACATCTATTTCCTCTACTTGCTTTTTGAAAACCTGAAAATTTGAATCGTACTTCCATTACTACTAATTATTTTACAATTTTTTCAGATTTTTAAAACATAGTTTAACCATAAGCGAAAATTTTGTTAAATATTCTCACTGTGAAAGTAATGAATGGATTAAATCTTTGGAATTATGTCGTAAATATGATGATTTTCATAAGAAATTATTTTTATATGAAGAGTGAAAAATTCGATTTGAAATTGGGGACAAGAGGTAAAGCTTTGTATGATTTTATTACCTTTAATTGTTAGTTTAAAAATGTTGGGTAATTTTTAATAATAAAGCATTTAATGTTATATTTACCTTAACTCAGAAATTTTTTAACAATTTGTTTCTAAAAGAGGTGTTGTATGGGGGTTAATAGATAGATAGATAGGTAGATAGATAGATAGATAGATAGATAGATAGATAGATAGATAGATAGATAGATAGATAGATAGATAGATAGATAGATAGATAGATAGATAGATAGATAGATAGATAGATAGATAGATAGATAGATAGATAGATAGATAGATAGATAGATAGATAGATAGATAGATAGATAGATAGATAGATAGATAGATAGATAGATAGATAGATAGGATAGATAGATAGATAGATAGATAGATAGATAGATAGATAGATAGATAGATAGATAGATAGATAGATAGATAGATAGATAGATAGATAGATAGATAGATAGATAGATAGATAGATAGATAGATAGATAGATATATAGATAGATAGATAGATAGATAGATAGATAGATAGATAGATAGATAGATAGATAGATAGATATATAGATAGATAAATCCGAATTGGCTAACAATCAATCTCTACTCAAGTAATGCGCAGAACCCTGTTGAAACCTGACTCAAGTTTTAGACTTTTTAAAATTTGACTATTAGCAAGTACTCCAACTTGCACTTATGGATAGTTTTGAAGTGAAAAAATCGCATTATATACGATATACATACATATGTACCTACAAATAACTGGTACCTCTGATGCACGAAAAACATCTAAGAAATTACAATTTATGTTTAAGACCTTGATCTATATTTTAGCTTAGTATTTGTAGCTACAAAATATTTTATAAACAATTTAAATACGCTTAAAAATTTATAACATGTTGTTTTGTTAAGTTTGCATGAAAATTGAAATAAATATTTTAAGCGAAAAAAATCCTATAAACAATAGTTTGTTATTTTTATTGTAATGCACAAGTTTTTACTATTTCAAAATAAAACACATAAAGTTTAGGCGCAAAAACATACAAGCAAAATGTTTCACTTAGGTTGACAACCGCAAAAGAGGTCAAAGAGCCGTAAATCCGGTATTGTAATTATAAAAAAAAAACTAAACAAAATAAATAAAAAATGGAATATTAAAATCTCAATTAAATTTATAACACATACATTTTAGTGGTAGGTATGGAAAAGGCAAATAAAATGTTTTTTTAAATACAAATAATAATTAAAAGAAAATGTAGAAAAACGAAAACTCATAGAAAAGTAGTTTAATTATTTTAGCAAGTATTTTAAATTGCATATTTCTTTTAGATTAAAAATCTTATTAATAAAACATTTAAATAGGTTAATTAAATCTTTTAATCTAAACGCTTTAAAAGATTTTTAAAAAATTTCAATTAGTTTTTTTATTTGTAAATATTTTTTGTTAAACTGCAAATTGTTTTAACAATTTAACAAACATAATCAAGTTAATAAATTATTTTTAAAACAAATATATTTTCTATGAGTGCACTCGTTAAATAGTTATTCAATTGAAATTAGTTGTAGTATATTAAAATCTTATTTTAGTATTATTATTTTAGTAGTTCCTAGTTAGCTATCAAGAGGGCAAAGACTTTTAAATTAGTTTAATGTATATTTTTTCATGAATGAATGCGTGCATGACAAATTTATTAAATTAGCAATTTAGTTAGATCATTGTTGGTAACATAATTTAACAATAATTTTTGGTATTTCAAACATACTAAGATTCGAATCCATATAATCTTTTAATCCACATAATTCTTTTGACTATTCTTCAGAACTCATAATTCTCTAAAGTTTCATAATAATTCTCTATTCAAATTCGCTTTCTTATAATTATTGTTGATTTGGGATAAATTTGAAAATCCTTGAACAAAAATCCAAAGAACAAACTTCTATTTTGAATGTTTAAATTCTCACAATCCAGTTAGCAGAACTTAGAAACATTATTTTTTCTCTAGGATTTTTCTTTTACTGTTTATCTTGAACCCTGAATGCCCAATGTTTTACGTTTAATGTCGCAAAGTCTGTGAGAGAGCAAACAGATTGTTAATGGCAGTTGATCTTGCATCGAATTCTCCGACTTTTGTTCTATATAGAGCCCAGAGTATATTCTATTACAATACAAGTAAGACTCTTTTACAATAAAAGGGTCAATGAATGTCGAAGTGCTTTAAGTGAACACCTGCCGTGTTGACCTTATTTTACGGTGGCCTCTTTCATTAGCTGGGATGTGAACGGTCTACCACGCGCCCCTGAATCCTTCTATGAAGTAAGCCGGTCCATGTACAAGCACATTGCTGAAGTACTCGAGCTATCTAATCTATTGCCATAGCAGCCCCGTTGCGGAATGACAGGCAGCATGAGATCAATCCCAATACATACCCCGGCAAGGAAAAAGCTGGTCTAAAGTCAATAAAAGGGGCGGCTCCTACATTAGGTGAATTCAATCTTCCGGTATACCGGAAGGTGACCACTCTTTAGATGTCAAGAAAGATTGCATTATTTAAAATGCAATCCCCATCAACTAATGACCCATTCCAGTGCATTCCTTAACATATTAAAGCCCGTGTAACCACACTACTGAGATGTCTCTGTTGATTCGGCAACTGCACTTAGAGACTAATTTCGTAGCCCGAAATACCCAGCCAATAAACGGGATCCTGGCCTGTTTGTCGTGATAATGTGACAAAGGATGTAGGAATTTCCAAAGTCCAATAATTGGCCAAAAAAGCTGAGTGGTGGGCCTTAACCATCAGTCGCATAGCATGAAACATTATGCATTCTGTTAAGATGGCAACAGCACCGAGATCTTGCCTGAAGTAAAAGGATGTAGGAATTTCCAAAGTCCAATAATTGCTCCGAAAAGCTGAGTGGTGGACCTTAACCATCAGTCGCATAGCATGAAACATTATGCATTCTGTTGAGAAGGGAACAGCACCGAGATCTTGCCTGAAGTAAAAGGTCTACTAGATCAGTACTAGTCTCCTGTAGGGCAGAGGAGTCATTTCCGATCGTTCACCAACTTACATCAGTTCCATTCTCAGACCATAAAGAACGATCAAAAGAATGACATGCAACTACCAAGTGTCAACCTGAAAATTCCTCAACCTATACTAGCGCCCTACTACGCGAAGAATAAAAAATTCTCAGTAAGTTGCTTTGTCACATTACCCAGTGACATATGTTGAGATGGCAATAGCACCGGATAGAGAATCCAGACATACATATATGACATAGGTATACCCCCATATTTGGGTAAAACCCCAGCCACTACGTGGATCCCGAAGGAACCTCAACCAACGGACCAGTCAGGAAAAAGTCTTGACCTAATCCTTTGCGGAGTACTTTTTATACTGAGTAGTCTCAATTTTTTTAGGATAAAATCACCCTTTACTAAAAAATCATCTCTGAAAAATAAATTTTTTCTAGAAATCACTTTTTCTGAAAAAATCAATAAAAATCTTAAAGTTTTTATGCTTAAAGGTTTTAAAATTCCTTTTTCCAATTAATTAAATTACAAAAATATTCGATACCAAATCAATAGACCATAACACGTTTTTATTCATTCCAAATTATAACTTCCCTTGGCCATAACTCACATATTTTGGGCAGAAAAAAAAGCTTTTTAAAAGAACAAAACTTCATACAGCAATTACAAATTAAGGTGAGGTTATTTTCAGACTCAGAGCAGGTTAATAGTTTGAATAAGCATAAGTTGTAACCAATTTCAAAATTGACAGTATTTTTCCCACCACCTTGGACCAATGGCTAAAAATACAAGTGGTAATACAACATGAACACAAAACATAAAGCGCAACAGTAAAGGGCCGATCATGCACAAATTCTAACTGCCGGTCTACACCCCAAAAACACTAACAAAACAAAAAAAAAAAAGAGTCACTTTAGAAACATATATTACAGATTTAATTATATATTCAAGTTGATTGTAACTTGTCATGGCAAAAATACAACAATTTTAGTTCAATATGCAGATTTTTAAAAAAATGACAATCTGTAAAAAGAGAGTGAAAGAGAGAACGAGAGATAAAAATGTTATTAATCTAGCGCTTCAGTGATTTTTCTACCAAAATAATAAAAAATTATAAAAAAGCTACAACATCATTAACAAACTATTACATATTTTATTGTTAAACATTTTTTTTCCAAATTTATGCTCTAACTACAAGGTGCAGTGCTTTTTTATATGAATTTTCCATTCACCGTTTAGGGTTCGTTGTCATTTTACCCATAGACGACACACTCTCGATATACAGCCAGAATTCTTGGCGTTACAAAATTGTATTTAGTCTCCTCACCCCCACTGTTATGTTTTGGCAGTTAATGTGTTGTTATGATCATGTGTATCTAATAAGTTTGCGGTGGTTTTTTATGCTGCGTGAGTTTGGCTGCTGCTATTTTGTGTTTTTAGCTAGATCGTTACTGATTATTTATAACGACACAAATTTTTAATTTTTATTTTGTTTTTTTTTTTTTTTTCTATTCATTGTTCTGATCTCATCATAATAACAATAGTAAAACATTGATTCCCAGTTTAGGTTTCAATCACAAATTTTCATTTAATTTCAGTTGAGTTTCAACATTTGATTGTAGCGGTTGTGAAAGCGCGAAAATAAATTTTGAATGAAAAATAATAATAACTAGTGTTTTTGGTGAGTTGTGCGTAAAGGATTAAAAAAGGATATTAACAACATTGTAATGTTTTAATGCGTTTTGTGCATCAGTTACTACAATTGTTATCACAATAATATATTTTTAAATAAACTAAAAATTTAAGTGCAATTAAACTCTTTTTTATTTTTTCCTAAAAAAACATGTTAAATTGTGATCATTTAAAAATTGCTGTTGGTTTTAAAGTTAAATATTTAAAGGAAATTATTGTCCTTTTGGAAATATAAAAAAATAATATTAAGTAAATGCCAAACTTTTATAAAACACAAACAATTTTCGGAACTTGTCAAAATTGTCTTCAAAAAACGGAAAATTTTTCCCAGGAATACTTTTTTGTATAGGAATAAACAAAATAAGTAACTGAACGAGTTCTATATTCGGCTGTGTCGAACTTTAACCTTCACCTTAGTGTGTTAAAAAAAAAAAAAAAAATAATTGGGAAAGGTTTCCTGATGAGCTGACTTAAGCAACCGGCGAAATAAGCATAGGAACTAGCTTCCCCACCATCAATGTTGTGAAAACGTAATGATTGTGTATTGGTAGAAACGGACAATTGCCTAACGGAACGGCAGAGGGAAAAACTAACGCCTTTTATGGAATTAAATATCATTATTTCAAGTCTAGATTCTCACAGGTTTCACTTGGGCAATTTTGAAAATAATCAGTTACTCCCTCAATACGGTTAGTTTTGAAATAATTCTTTCTTTTATTGGAATCTCCGAATGACAGTGAATGAAATGTGTGGGTGTTAATATCCAAAAACGATTAGACCTGAGAGCAGAGTATACTTTTTTTAAAGTTTGAATTGCGCTATATCCCAATCTGACCATAGGTTCTCGAGAAATCTTGGTATTAATTTTGAACTATTCTTTTCTTCCCTATATATTCAAAATCTTAATTAGTATATTTTATTATTAGGGTACATGATCCATTTCCACATCCTATAGATCTTCCATATCTGCTTGCAGCGCAGCGAGGCTTAACTCCCAACAACTGTAGTGTCTTTCAAGCTGAAATATTCGCTATAATCTCAACCTGTAGGGTACTACACGATTTCAATGTTGCCGCGAACATAGGAATTTTTGTCGACAGTCAAGCAGCACTTCTCTCACTAAATTCTTATACTACCATTTCCCCATTAGTTAAACAATGCAAGAAAGATCTGTCAAGGCAGGGTCGTCAGTCTGACATTACTTTTGTTTGGGTCCCTGCGTATAGGGACTATTATGGAAATGAACAAGCAGATGAGTTTGCCAGAACGGGATCTGCTCTTGATATCTCAAACGCCATTCCCGTAGCAACTCCATTAGGTTTTATCAAGAGTAGTATCCTCAGATTCTATCTTCAAAAGGCTGAAAATAGGTGGAATAACCTAGACACATGTACAGGGGCCAAGATATTGTGGCCCTCCTTTAATGAGAAACGCACAAGACACTTTATAAACCGAAGTAGACGGAGAGACATGCAAGTAGGCCTGGGCTACCCTTCAATGAACACTGTCGCAGTTGCAATGACAGGGAAAAGGAAGAAACGGTCTTCCATCTTCTCTGCGAATGCCCTGCTCGAAACCGTTTTCTTGGCAGTTACTGCATATCTAACCTTGGTGAGGCGTTATGATATCCTGAGATTTCTCACTGTTATAGGCTGGATCTAAAACTATAAAATACTACATCTGACGAGTCCAGTGGTCTGGTCAAAACGGAGTCTCTTCAACTCTACTTGACTATTCGCGCGCAGTGAACTACCACGTTAACCAGCCAACATGATCCATTTAGATCATGGGATTAGTCTGATGTAATGCATGTGTGGATTACGTGAATACCGCAAAGTTTAATGGGGGATATTTTTTCATATACATATGTATTTGGATTAGCTTTGGACCAGTCCTACTACTTTTCAGAGTACTCTTTGAACGCGTGTTCGGAGTAGTCTAAGATTTTGCAGGGTTTCAGAATATTTACATTTGTGAGCAATAGATCAGTAAATCACACAGAGAAAAGTTTAGTTTTGTTTGTATGAGGAATAATTTATTCTTCTTTCATCCATATTTAACCATATTATAGCAACATCAAATTTTCCTAATTGTTTGAAGATCGCTAATGTTATTCTTGTGGGAAAGAAAATCAACCTACACTTCCAGCAGATTATAGACCCATAAGTATTCTTTCCTAAATATATAAGTCTTTTTAACGCCTGATTTCGAATCAGATGTTGCAACATTTAGTTAAAAGAAAATAAATCAATCGGGTTATCGTATCAGAAGGAACACTTGTACTGAATTGATCAAGGTCTTAGAGAATTTTCGATCATCACTCGATAAAATTTGATAAAAATAAATTTAGTATTAAAATTTTTGCAAAAATCGTTTTAATTTTTAGTGCCATGATTACAACAGTTAATGTGGACTTATCGCCCTAAATTTTTCCATAAAAGTCTAGAGGATAGCATTGCTGGCATAGCATTGCCAACTGCGCATTTTAAAGCTAAATTCTCAATCAATTGCAGATCACTGATCAAAATGATTTAGTATTACAAAAGCATTGAATTCTATAATTATTTAAAAATTTGTTATGTATTTTAAACTTTTGCAAATAGCTAAATTAACAATAATTCCATTTATTCCGCTACATTATTTTCAGATCAAACCTAATCACACAAGATCGCACAAGAGTGGCAGACAGCAAAATGTTTTGCTGCCACAGACGCTTAACGACGCACTCAGCCGTAATAGTGCTGATATGCTGTTTAATTCAAACCGTATTGGCCTTGCAAATACCAAAAGATGTGGAAATACTTGAAGGTTATGAATTCGATGAATCTCCTGAGTATTATGCTACCGATGCCAATTATTACGAGGCACGAAGTATGATGACGGGACACAATAAGGCCATACGTAATAAAAGATCAACTTTGGAATATGATCAAGCTAAGGGTTTAATAAGTAAAACGGGTTTTAATAAAAAGTTTCAAGAAAGTCTCGTACACAATGTAGAAAGTGATCGTATTGATGTACAGCAATCAACAGCCATAAATAAGCAAGATCAAGAGGAATTGAAAGCAGAGGCTAGGGAGGGTGATAATGGTAGAGAAGGCGAGTTGGGTGAAGTATTGCCGAAAGCTGAAAAACAAATCATGGATCCTGATTATGATTACTATTCACAACGTCATATTGCTAGTTGGAAAGATCATGTAAATGTAGATCACTCTGTTAACGATGATGATACTGTGGCCGAGGCCACTAGTGGTTATGCGGCTAGAGCACGTCAAGCTAGAGTTAATTTTATAACGCAGCCTAGAAAGGAAAATGAACCACCTAAAGAGTTACCTGAGCCGAGAGTAACAAAAGTTACACCACCTTTAGTTAAACCCCATTACGATCAAAAGTTTGGCGCTGCAGCGGCCCCTTCCTATAACTATGAAATGTACCCATCGCGTTCTTATGATCCCTACTTAAGGCGTTATGATCGGTAAGTTAAAAAAACTAGAACAAATATTAGATTTTTGTGATGTTTTATAAATTTGTATTCTTAACTCTTTCAGATTTGATGAACAATATTCCCGTTATGATCCCTACAATTATGAAGATCATTTCCTCTATCGTCGTCATTACGATCCTTACGATAGCTATAGTCCACGTATGCCACAATATCCAGAACCCTATTACAACTATCCCGATCGTCGTTATGATATACCCGAACCTCGAGAATATTTACCTTTATACAATAATGAAATTTATGAAAAATCTGCTTATGCTCCCATTAACTACCCCGATCCTTATCCCGCATCTTCAAAATATCCCATCGATTATACAGCACCCTCTAAATATCCTACAGATTATACACGTAGTAATAAACGTATTGTTTATTATGCTCATTTACCCGAAATAGTACGAACGCCTTACGATTATGCGGCCAACAACTACAATCGTGATCAACGTTATGATGGCCTGTTAACACCTACTAAAACCTTACCGAATACTTATAAAATTGATAAGACCGGAACACCGGCAACTTTAAATAGTAATCCGAATGTTAATACAGATCCTTATGATTATATGAAGCGAGATAAAAAGGATCGTGTTACACCGAAACCCATTAAGGTCAATAGCAACAATGGCCGACAATAATAATTGTTGAGTCGGGTTCTTAGTTGGGATATGAGAGACATTTTAAGATGGAGCTTAGTTTAAGTTTTAATGAATTATTATACCAAAAAAAAAAGCAAGAAACAACAAATCTTATTTACTCAAATTAGTATTAAATTATTTACCAATGTTTTTTTTAGTTAGTTTACTTTATTATTTTGTATGATTTTTTTAATAAAACCCAAATATTTATTATTTATTTTACACTAAAGTTGAGGGTTTTTCAATAATTTAAATGAAAAATCTTGAATTGGTATTATGTCATACGATTCTTCAATTTTAGACTCCAATTCAATATTATTGAATTAAGATGACAAACATCAATGTCTTTAGTTGAAATAGTGGGATTAGACTGTTTAACCTCAATTGAATTGAAAATACCCAAGGATGTGGAAATTATTAAAGGTTAAAAATTCAATTCCAGAATTATAAGTCAACCGATGTCATTTATTATGAAGTAAGAAATATGTTGACTAGACTTAATATCGGCGAAGGTTCCTGAAATATTGAGCAAAAGGTTCCAAGGTTGGACCACTTCTTTTGTTAATGGTTTTTATTATTCGAATTGAATGTAGTTGCATAAATATTGGACCGATTCAATAAAGGGTCCTAAACTGATTATAAGTATTAATTATAATATTCAGTAATTAAGTATTAATTATAATATTCACCTTCATGGTACTAACCATTTCGTTTGTCTAGCGGAGTCAATATCCTGAAAGCCTAAGACGGGATCCAAATCCTCAAGAATTCTATTAGACATGCTTTCGAAAATATCACTCTTTAAAACCAGCAAAATCGATTCATAAATAATTAGATATAAGCAAAATTCCCGAACCAGCCAATGGAAATATTACGTTTATATCTCACTTTTGTCTAGATTAGTCAACAATTTTAATCACAGATCTTTTTCATTAAGGTATTAACTCTATTGAGAGTTATTATAATCGATTCAAAATTTCATATTGTAATGTACACATTCCCGAAAAATACATTAATTGTCAATAACATCTTCTGGAATGTCGGTATGACCACAAAGTTTTGCACATATTAATCTAACATCAATAGAAATCGTGTTAAAAACTAGTTCTCAAATAAGGTCCACTTCCGAAAATCAATGAAACGAACACATTTTCTCCATCGACAAATTATTCGGCTAATTTTTTTTCGGCACATAATTTATTAACTAGTAACCGTATCGGGAATGTGTTTTATATATACAAATCATTCGGATTGGTCATAGCTCCCACACAAGGTCCATTTCCGAAAATCTCATTCTCATACAATTATTAGACGATTGGGTCAGTTAGTCTTATGAAGGTACAATAAGGTTAAAACGAGAGGATGTAGGCTAGTGAACTTTTCCACAAATGTTTTCCGTAGACAAAAGCTATATATCGTCACCTAAAACGCAAACGGCCCTATCTAACATTTTTAAAATTTTACAGGAGAAGCAAAAAACTATTTAAATTGAAAAGTTTGTTTCTATCAACGCGATTTATTTGCAGTAAATAAACAAATTGTTTAATAGTGAAACCTCTCATTTCTTATGATAGTTGACAATGGCGTATAAAAAAATGGATAAATTGGACTTTTTACCTTTAATATTTAAATGTTTTTGTAGATAAGGCCTTTCGTTTTCTGTCAATAAGATCGATAATTATGGTCGGAGGAGTCCAATTTTTGGTGTGGGCTTTTGTTTTAATGCAATACATTAGAATCACCAATAAAATCGATTTTGAATTTTTGGTTAGTTAGGCCCGTTTGCATTTCAGGTGACGATATGTATGTTAACTTATTAAAATTTTAACAAAACTTAGGGCTTAACCACAAATAAAATTAATAAGAATATGTTATTTTGTCTACGACAAAGCTTTCTTTTGAAATTTTAATATGTAAACAGGTCATTGGAAAAAATGTATCCAAAGTTAATTTATTAATATAAAAATAATATCTTACAAACCGCAACCCTTTTTAGGTAGAAAATATTATTTAAATGAAAAAATCCTGCCTTTAAATAAGCATTTGACGATTCATTCATTAATTTCACTTAAATAATCAAAAGATTATCAAAAATTTAGCAAGTTCCTGTGAGGCTGTACAAGCAGTCAAACAGTAGTAAAATCAGTAAACAGGATGTTATGATGACACACTTTGACATGATATCAAAACCAAATAAAACAAATAAACAAGTAGCAAAAGGACCTGCTTTTCCCTAGGATAACATAAAGATCACACAGACACCAGCATAACATCATAGAAAAATGAAATTAAAAGCAAATCATTTCCTCTTCAACGCATATAACGGTAATTTAAATAAATACAAATACAAACATAATTGGTAAAGGACGAAAGGAAAAATTCCAAAAAAGAAACAAGAAATTATTTAATATGAGTAAACAACAACAGCAAATGATTCCGGTCAATTTGAATGGTAAAGCAAACCAAACCAGTAAAAAATTGAAAATTAAACATAATTTGTTGGGAGGAAGGGGGATTTTTTTCTATGGAAGGGGAGCAGGAGAAATCAAATGAAATCCCTATCCTTTAGGCATAAATTAACAATTCTCATATTTTTTTGTTTCTGTTGCAAAAGTGTGTATGTGTGTAAGGGCACTGGTATTAAATGAATTGAAAATATGATGCAGCGTCACTTCCGTTCTACATAACGGATATATGCTTAATCTTGCGTTAATAAAATGATGATGACGAGGTCAAAAACACAACTACTATACATGTAGATCCCAATACCATTCTGCTCCCCAAACTGTAGTCCATTTTGTATGTAACACAACTTTCTCTTTGTGCATTCGTTTTTCAAAAATGTTTTTTTATTGTTGTATAATGGTCATGTGACGCCGCCGAATGTTACTGTTGCTTTTATTGTTTAAATTTGTTTATTTTTGCTGTTTTTGTTGTATGGACTTTCCTTTGGTGATATGTCAAAAAAAAGCATAACAATATCTGAATATTACAAACCAATTTTCAAAGAATTTTTTATGTTTGTTTGCTTGTGCCAAACTGTTGGTGTTGTTAATTTTAAATTCATTAAAATGTACGTTTAATACAGCCATAGTCGTATATATTTACACACACTAAAAAATTAAGTAAGCTAGGATAAAATCAAAATTTTGCGGCCTTGTAAATAAAATTGGAAAAAAAAAGATTTCTATCACAATCCATAGACTTTATAGATAATGATAGCTAAGAAATTTTATAAATAAATCTACCAATTAGTGGTTCAAATCGAAAAAGAAGTTCATACCATTAGTTTTCAAAATTATTTACTCATATTTATTTCCTTTCAAAATTATTTACACATCATTAAAAATAAGATAAAACAACAAAAAAGTAACGTTTTTTTTTAATAACCAGATAAATTTCCATCCGCGTCTATAACAGCTTGTAGTCTATCTGGAATTGAATCAACTAATTTTCGCACAAAGTCAATTTCCAGGCTATTCCATATACATTTCACTTCTTCAATTGTTTCCTCTCGTTTACGGCCATTTTTCAATGTTCTCCTCCTTTTTATGGCTGCCCAGACATTCTCAATTATATTTAGGTCAGGACTCTGTGGTGGCCACGGAAGAACATCTTGTCCAACCCTATTTAAAAAGGTAGTTGGTAACCATGCTTTGTGGCATGGAGCATTATCATGCTGAAGAATCCAATTTTCACTAGCAAACAGTCTTCGTGCGGATGGAAACACATGGTCATTTAATATATCCAGGTATCCCGATTGGTTTAGTGTCTCTTTAATTGGTATTAGATCCCCATATCCATTATAAGAGACACATCCCCAAAACATTACCGAGCCACCACCAAATCTATTAAAAGGTTGCAATGCTTTTTGCCTTGATCCCTTTAAAAGATGCATATATGTTCTTCCAAATGAACCTTCAAATTGGAAAGAAGATTCGTCTGTCCATAATACATTTTGCCAAAACTCCTTTGGCTTATGGATATACTCCTTAGCAAACTCTAGACGTTTTATTTTGTTTTTGGGAGATATATCTATTATTTTTCGGACAACATAAGTCCTTATATCATAATTCTTTAATCTTCTTCGTATTGTACTGTCACTTATATGTTTTCCAATAATGTTTTCTGACTCCTCAGCAACTTTAATTGGACTTGCATCTGGATTTTCAGCGAATACTTTCACAATTGAACAATCTTCCTCTTTGTTTGTTCTCATTTTTCGACCACTTCTACTTATATTTTGAAGACTTCCGTATGTATTTTTCTTTTTTACTAAATTATATACTGTTTTCCGACATATTCCATACTCTTTTTCTAATTCCAACGCCGATACACCCATTCTAAATTTGGTTACAATTTCAGTTCGCATCTCGAGGGGAATTTCCCTTATTTTCACCATTTTGAATGCTTTTTATAGACTTTTTTTAAGAACATTTGAATTTAACTAATAACAAAAACTGACTAGCAAAAACCATGACGTTTTTTCCAAGACTATAGAGGTTTTAGTCGCTTTTAAGGAATGTGTAAATACTTTTGAAAAAGAATAAATTTGTGTAAATATTTTTGAAAACTGAAGGTTAGGTCTACTTTTGCGAATTTTAGCAATAACTAGGACCTTTCTTCGTAATATTTTTTAACGAACGTGATCTACACCCTTTAAGGATTGTAGTAATGAACATTTTTTTCTTCAAATGTATCTTTAAAGTACCAAAATGTTGTTTTATTTCGAAGAATACTTAAATTTTCAGTGTGTGTAAATAGATACGACTATGGCTGTATGTATAGAGCTGTAAATGAAATTTTTGATTTGCAAAGAGTTTAGGGTAAAAAAGTAGCAGGTGATATTTGGTATTGAAATGTAAATTAGTTCTTGCATTAGTTCAATACAAAATATAGTCTTGACTACAGTCTTCTTTATAGTGCAGACAATAGTCATCTATAAGTCATGATTATAGTCTTGTCTATATTCCTGACTACAGCCCTCACTATAGTTTTGGCTATAGTCCTGACTATAATCTTGCCTATATTCCTGACTATAGTCTTGTCTATAACTCTGACTATATTTTTGTCTATAGCCCCGACTATAGTATTGTCTATAGTCCTGCCTATAATCATGACTACAATCTTGTCTATAGTCCTGACTATAGTCTTGTCTATAGTCCTGACTATAGTATTGTCTATAGTCCTGACTATAGTATTGTCTATAGTCCTGAC